CTTTGCCTTTAGATACTGCGCTTTTCGCTCTACACAGCCCAGCCTCGCCACAGTCAGATATAGTTTTTGTTTTTTTTTCCACAAGGAAAAGGCGCTCCTTCCCCTTGCAATAATAGGACATTTGGCCTGTGCACGTCTGGTCACCATGTAGATTAAAAAAAAAAAAAAGTAACAGAGGATAAACAAGACTTGAATGTGCCAATACATGTGGCCCAGGTAGTAAGCACTCCAGAATGTTGTGAGGGAGAGGAGACCATTAACGGTGATGGCTTTTATTCTTCTTAAATATTTGCCTCAGGCAGTCACTTTCTCTAGGGTTATAATATACATATATTTCTAAACACTGACTCAGCGAGTACCTTTAGGGCTTTATGGATTCTTAGAGGATTTTAAACCTCGACACCTTTGTCTAGCTCCAGGGATGGAGGAGGGATGAATCATGGCTGTCCACACAGTTTGTAACATAGTTAAATGAATTAAACTAGGGAAATGATTAAGTGGGGGTAATTAGTGCGAATGGGAAGAGCGGTAACTTGCTTTTATTAATAGTGATTTTTAAAAACTGAGTTTTGTGGTGGGAGTTTTATTAATATCATTAATAGTATCAGTAGCACTTTCCTATTTAATGGCTGAAGAGATAAAGCATAGAGATGAACTGAATAAACTGAATGAAATACTTTTAGAACAGTGCTCTATTGTCATAACAAAAGACACACACACACACAATGACAGATATCTAAATGTCTGTATCTAGAACATATAGGAAGGGGGAAAAAAAGAGAGAGAAGGAAACAAACCAGGAAACAGACTCTTAACTGAGGGTTGCTGGAGGGGAGGTGGGCAGGGGGATGGGTTAAATGGCCATTAAGGAGGGCACTTGTTGTGATGAGCACTGGGTGTTGTATTTAAGTGACTAATCACTGAATTCTACTCCTGAAACCAATTTTACACTATATGTTAACTAACCAGAATTTATATAAAAATTTGGGGAAAAAAATGCCTGTCTCTAGCTGTATGGTTGTCATTTGCTAGTTCAGGTAATATACTATATAAAACAAGCGGCTTAAGTATATGCATGCGCTTGTAAAAATATTCACTAAGGTTTTGTACCTGTTGAGCAATGCTAAATTGGTGGTAGTCTACACCTGAAAATTCTGGTGATACTTCTCCATAGCCAATAAAACGTGATGGTAGGAAATTAATAACCTGAATGTCCAATTTCACCCTGCCTGGTAGACAGTTCTCTCTCTTTTTCATTCCTCCACATATGCACAGACAGACACAGATATATGACAGAACTATCATTACAAAACTCGGTTTAAGCAACACTTTCAAGGATTCAACTGTGCAAACCACTGTTCAGGTACTATTAGAGAAGAGAAATGCACAGACGAAAACTATGCACAATTCCTAACACTCCCTCTACTTTCTGAAGGCGGGTTTGACCATGCATGCTTGCTCACTGCATGATCTTGAACCAGTTCCTTATTTCCTCTGTACTTCATCTTTTTTTTTTAACCTATGAAATGGGAATAATAAGAATATCTACTTTTATGGGGTTGTTAGGATTTGTGGGAAAATGTGTATAAAGCATTTTGAACAGTGCCCGTACAGAGTAAACTACTATTGTAGTCATTATAATGATAATATATTATTATCTTGAAGATCTTATACTCTAGAAGAGAATATAGACTTACACATAGCTAAGTCTAATAGAAATTATCAGCAACATAACAGAGGCATAATCACAATGCTCTGCAAAACAGGTGCTTTTTTGTTATGGTTTGTTTTGTTTTAAATGCAACACCCTAAAATTAGCCTTGGGAACAAAAGAATAAACCAGGCAGAGTTGATTATTTTTCCAGGTTCTATAAATACTATCCCCTTTTGCCACGAAATGAGTAATGATGTCTTCGAAACATCAGTCAGATGCAACACAGAATTACATATGAGAAAGTGGTCTAGCTTTTGAATTCTGCAAGTTGGCCTGCTCAGCAGAGGGAATTCCAGAACAGAATGAAAAACTGGAATGAATAGCCCTTTAAGGGTCCCCTCTATTTCTGAAATTCCATGATTCCAAGGTCAAGACACTTAATGGAGTTTCCAGATATAAAAATAAGACAATACAGAAAAATATCTTTTTCAAATGGTAGTTCCCTCCCTCTTTTTTTTTTTTTTCTTGACTTTTCTCAATGATCTTTTGAAAAACTGGCCTTGGAACAGAATTAACATTTACCTCATGAAGAAAGAGTAGTTATTTTCAATGAGTTGGGTCACCGAGGGAGGAATTCTATTAAATAAAGTCCTTGGGGAAGTGAATTCTTTATTGATTCCGTTTGTGGTCCAAAGTGGAGGTGCATTGCTGCTATAAACATTGGGGTGCACGTACCCCTTCGGAT